AAAGCAAACCCTGTCACCTCCCCCCACCCAAAAGCAAACCCTGTCACCCCCCCGACTTCCCCCGAGGAAGCAGCCGAGCAAGAGCAGGATGCAAATCCCATGGAAAGGGGGGGGGAATGCAAAGTGCTTTCAAAACTGGGTGGGGGGGAAAAGAGACAAACTTCCTGGTGCTAAAGCAAAGCTTTATGGATGGCCGAGGTCTCCTTGCTGAGCCCGTGGAGAGGAGGAGGGCAGGGGCCACCTTCTGCTCCTCTTGGCCACCACCAGGACTCCCCAGGTGGAACCAGCAGCCCCCCTGCAGCCCCAACACATGTACATTCCTCCCCATGCCACAGGCAGCTCTTCCCCCCTGCAACTCTGCAGCTTCCAGAGCCAAAATTCAACTGTTGTGGCCCAAATACCCCCACCTCTTTCCTTCCCCACCCCTGAAAGCTTCTCAGGGCACGTCCATACTGTTCTCCCAGATCTCACCCACCCTCCTGCTCCAGCCCCAGCAATGCACTTACGGTGCTGGACTAGTCTATTAAAAGACACTACTAAAAATAAATAAATAGCAACAGAGACAGCCAGTCTCTCCCAGGGCTGGTAGGACACGAGGTAGAAATTTCAGCCCCCTCACCTTGTCCTCCACCGTCGCCCTCTGGACAATGTGCTCCAGGCGCTGCTGGTGGCTGGGGGGCCTGGCTGGCCCCGTGTCCCCCTGCTTCTCCCTCTCACTGAGGCTGTTCCTGGGCTCCTGCTGGAAGGAGAGACCTGAGAGAGGGTCCCCTCAGGGCCAGCACAGCTCAAGGTTTGGGCAACCCCCACCAGGGATGCAAGGACTGAGGGCAGGACTTGTCACCCATCCCACACACCCCCTCTATTTGCCGTTCCCGGGTTCAATGTCAGTACCCAAATCACTTGGAAAGGATTATTATTCTTTCCTCCTTGTCTCTCTCTCTCTCTGCAGCACCTGGCTCAGCCCTGGCAGCGCTTCAGGCACCCAAGTTTGGTCCCTTTCTCTGGGACTTCACAGTCGGCACCGTGTAAACAAGGAGCCTTCAGAGATGTTTTCACAGCATCTCTTTGCCCCACACATCCCCTGAGAAAGCCCTTCTGCTGCAAGATGGGCTTCTCAGGGATTCATTAGCCCCATGGCACCAGGGCAGGGCAGGCGCTAACTATTTCTCAGCCTTTTTGACCTGTTTTCACCTTCTCCTGCTTCATGAAGGGAAAGTGGGTGGAGTAACTGCTCCTCCTGGGGGCTTTGGGATCTTTGGGAGGATCGAAGTGAAGCAGCAAGGGAAGGTCCAGGCAGGACAGAGCAGCTCAGCTCCCCCACAGACATGAACAAATCTCAGCCAGACAAGAAAAAATTCCCATCTCCTCCCAACCCCGGTTGCAGAGGTGAAAGGTTTAAAGCTTTAACTCGCAGTAAGCGTTTCTTTCCAGAATTCCTGCAAAAATACAAGCCCTGGGGGCACGTCCCTCCAGCACTGATGTGCTGCCCAGAGGCAGATGTGCTGCCCAGAGGCAGCTGTGCAGGCAGAAGGCTGCAACTGGGCAGGGGTTAATCCTGGATTTCCGCCTGCAGAGCGAAAGCCACTGGCTGCAAGAGCAGGTCCCCACATCAGCCCTAAGGACTTTATCCCCATCAACAGACCCACTCCCTACCTCGCCCAGGTTCCGTGCCTGCAGCAAAGCCTCTGTCCTCCTCATCTTCTCCAGCTCAATCTCCCTGGCAATGAGCTGCTTGGTCTGGTAGCTGAGCTGCCTGCGCGCGGGCAGGTCCGGGAACCGGCACACGTCCTCCACGTTCCTGCTCCGCGCAGGGAGAATAAACCAACACCAAAACATAAACCAGGGTTGTGCAACCTGCAGCCTGACATGGGCACAGGGAGATCCAGCAGGCTGCCAGCCCCCTCCTCTGCAGCCTCTGGGTGTGATCCTGACCCCCGTGCCTCAGTTTCCCCCTCGCGTGTGACTGGCAGCGCTGGAAGGAGCACGGGGAGCGGTGCCAGCCCTGCCCAGCCAGGCTCCTGCAGGGCATCCCAGCTGAATGGCAACCCAAGAGGGATTATGTGCTTTTTAATCTTGGCTGTAATGCAAGAGGAGGAAACTGCAGGCAGGTCTGTGCCCTGCAGCCTGCCCTGAAAAAGCCACGGTCACATCACAGCTTGGGCACGAGCGGCACCACAAGCCTCTGCGTGACCCCCAGGCTGCCTGCAGGGAGCCCTTGCATTGACATATGGCCATGAACAGTAATTTTGGCTAATCAGAGCAGTTTTCTTCTTAACGAGGCTGGTGCAGCAGCCCTGGAGTTAGGCCTGTTTCAGCACAGCAAAAGCCCAGGGACAGCCCCAGCACCCAGCTCTAAGTACTTCCCACTTTATCCACATTCAGTGTTATTCCTCTTAAAATAAAGGGAGCAAAGTCCTGTGTCAGATGGCTTTCCAGTCATTCAGAAATGAGCTGTTACATTCATTAATTCAAGGGTTTTAAAGAGAAAACACAGTTTTTGCTGCAAAGAACAACTCTGCTTGCCAGAGAGATGCTGGGACACCACTCACAGGTGCCCCTGTGACATCCCTGTGGTCCCTGTCACCCCTGTGCCTGGCCTGGAAATGGGTTCAGACCTTGCAAAAAAAAGTGAAGTGGAGCAAAGCAAGACACCTGCTTGTGCCACATGGCTCCCAAGGCCACATTTTGGTGGCACAGCCCAGCATAGGGAGGGTAGGGGAGGAGGATGGTTCCCTGCAGCCCCTGCAGCTCCCACTGGCCTTTCCATGGGAAAAAGAAATAATAAAGAGCTTCACTGTAATTAGATACAGCTGCTTGATTTAACAGAGGCTAATTTTTGTAATTAACTTTGCACAGGAAGACATCAGCATTGCTCTGGGCTGTGGTGGGGTCTGTATTACTTCAGCAAAGTCCTGAGAGTGTTTCAGGCTCCAAACAGACTTTAAGCCAAGGGAGACTCCAGTCTAGCAACAGCTGCCTATTAATATATAAACTCAGCAACTAAAACCAAGCTTTTTGACAACAGAAAGTCTCTGGGGGTGTAGGGGTGCAGCTCTGCCTCACTGCAGGAGGCACCAGCTGCAGCTCCTGCCTTGCCCTGTGCTGGCCATGACCCCCACGCTCTGCCCTGGCCTGGTGAGCAGCAGCACACGAGGGGAGATGCTGCACAACCCATTGCTGATGTGTGAGCCCACAGAACCCCTGGTACCCCCAGTACTGACTGCCCTGTCACCTACTGCAACAGCCCTAGGGTGTGGACAACCCCCCGACACGCCCTGTGCTCCCAGCACAAGCCCTTGGACAGTGTCTTGCTTTGCAGAGGAGGTTTGTCCTTCCTCTTCCTCCTGCTTTTTCCTCTGTGAGGCACAAGTCCGCCTGGAAAAACAGGCTCCAGCCATGACTAGGAGCACTCCTGTGGTCACCTCCTGCATGCAGCTTGCCTGGTTGGACCTGCTGTCCCCATCACTGCTACCAGCCCCTGGCAGCTCTGGTCCCTCCTTTGCCATCTCTGGTAACAGGCACAAGGCAGCTGCTTCCCTTTGTTTAATCCCATTAAAACAAAAGCATTTCAGGCTCCTCCTCTAAAGAAACAAGGCAAAAGAGCAGATCATCCCTGCAGAGAGACTCTTCAGAGGAAGTTCCAGCCCTGGGCAGCTCACAGCAACCTGGCTGTAAGAAACCAACTCAATAGCACAACACCCTCCTGAACTCTGCTGGTGTTTTGGACCCTTGCACCTTCTCCCCACCCTCGGGACTCACGGGTCAAGCCTGTAGATGTACTGGCCCTCGGGCAGGCGCTCCTGGTGGTAGGTGAGGTTGTAGGCCAGCATGGTGCTGATGAGCTCTGCCAGCTGCTGCTTCTCCTTCAGGCTGTAGAGCTGGGTGTTCACCTGGGGGGAGAGCAGAGCCTAGCACCGGGAGAGCTTCATTAACCCATAATGACTCCTAAACACAAAAATCACCTGAAGCACAAAGTTTGTTTCTATATGAGAAGGGATCATTAATACCCACAAGGTTCAGGCCAAATGTAGCTTCCTCTTAAGGACACTCCTCAGAACAGGGACACATCCCCCTGATGGCCCAAAAGGTCAATGCACCCAACACAACCATGAACCAGCTGCTGGAAGGAGACTGCAACAGCCCCCCAAGCCCCTGCTGAGGCCAAACCCCCCAGGTGCAGGGGTCCAGGAGGTGCAGGACACCCCCTTCCCACACATCCAGCAGTCAGGAATCTTGATGCTGCATCCCCAGCTTTTCTCCAACCTCTGCACCAGCTGCAATGTCAAACCCACCCTGAATTTGGGACAGGTCTGGGATAGCTCAGCCTGGGCGATGCAGCGCAGGGGGTGTGTTCCAGCCCTCATGGGGGAGTGGGGGCATTGCAGAGGGGGACAGGGACATGTCACCTGGGCAGGACCCCCACCAGAGCAGTGGGAAGGGGCTGGTGGGCACTCACCGGCCGGAGCTTGGGGGCGATGATGTCCAGCAGCAGGCACAGCACCTCCAGGACAAGGGACTGCTGCCCCGCGCGGCTGCGGGCACTGGGCGCTATCCCCGACACCATGGACACCACCAGGTTCTGCATGTGCTGCAGCTTGGCCAGGGCCTGGGTGGAGAGGACAGGGACAACTCAGCCGTGGCTGCAACTGCCCAAGTGCCCACAGGTGACAGAACTGCCACCGTGCCCTCCCCAGTACTTGCATCGTGGTGGCTGCTGGGATAAGCGAGGCGGGGAACGTGGGCGGCTGCAAAGAGCAGGTGGAAAGCCACGGGCAGGAAGGGCAGGTACCGCATCAGCTGGAAGCTCTGCCCGTGCAGGACAGCTTGGCTGAGCAGGTCAGAGAAGCCCAGCCACTCCAGGGCCGAGCACACCGAGCTCAAACTGGAGTCCCGCACCTTCATGTTCAGGAAATTCTCATACAGACCCTGGAAGCAGACCCAGGATTAGAGGCAGCTCGAGGCCAGGAGAACGATCCAGTCAGAGCATCCCAGTGGGCCCAGCTCCAGCACAACACCCCAACAACTCCAGCCAAAATTAACACAATCCTACTGCAGGGAGGGATTTCCCAAAGCACCTACCAGCCACAATGACCAGGATCAGGAGCTGCCCTTGCTCCAGCCACCAGAGCAGAGCAGAGGAATGGGCCCAGCTCTTCCCCCCCACCACGGCCACTCTACCTGGGCCAGCTTCTCCTGCTCCCCTGAGGAGACAGCCAGGTGCAGGACGTGGTGGAAGCGGTGAGAGGATTGCTTGAAGCCAGCTGTCCCCCCAAGGTGCAACAGGTCCTCATCACCCACCAGGAGCTGGGTTGTCAAAGTAGGGTCCATTCCTATCCTGTGCCTGGGGGGAGCCCAAAGGGAAGAGCTCAGGGAGCACCAGCACTGAACAGACCAGCAAGGAGTAACTGGGACCTTGCAAAGCAGACTCAAGACAACACCAATGCCAAATTATTGGGTGCTAAAGAGAAGTGGCCAAAGAGCATCTGGACACACAAATCTGCTGATCAAGATTGGCTTGGTGCAAGGCAGATCAGCTCTCCAGGACCTTTCAGGTTTCTCCACCACAGGTCTTGATCTACTAGAAGCAGCAGGCCCCGAGCAGGCAGCAGAGATAATAAATTCCTCGTTACCTTTGGACCTTTGGGAGCTGGAAGATTTCTTGCCAGATGGAGAAGAGCCCTTTGTTTTGGTCCTTCAAGCCAATCCTCATTGTCTGCACCATCTGCACGTTCAGCTCCTTCTGGCCTCGGCCATGCAGGAACTGCAACACAAGAGAGAGGGTCCCACACCAGGCAGCTGGTGCTGGGAGAGCTGGAGACAGAGACACCCACCCTTGCTTTCTAGGGGAATCAGGGTTAAAAATAACAAAGGGGACAGGTGTGGGTGTTTTAAGGATCTGCCTGGGACCTAGTTGTTGTTTTTTTCCTTCCCATCTGAGCCCAGATCAAGGTAGGGGGGGCAGGTCTGTGCTCCCCCAGCCCCCCGTGGTACCTGCAGGGTGTTGATGCAGGAGCGGATGTCGTTGTCAGTCTTCTCGCACAGCGCCAGCAGCGCGCCCATGTCCGCCCGCATGCCCTGCTGCAGGGCGATCTGCAGGAGAGGGGTCAGTGAGGAAGGACCCCCAGCCCTGGCTGGGGAGGGGGACAGGGGAGCCTCGGGCCACACCACACCTCACAGAGCCGCTGGGCCAGCCGGGACGGCGCCGTGCGGGGGAAGGTGAGCAGGAAGGACTGTTGCCGCAGCGGCCGCAGGGCAGGGACGTACCTGGCAAAGGGAAGCACCCAGTCATTAATCCCAGACTGGTCTGGGTGGGAAGGGACCCTAAAGATCATTCAGTTCCAACCCCGCTGCATGGGCAGGGACACATCCCACCAGCCCAGGTTGCTCCAAGCCCCATCCAACCTGCCCTTCAACACTTCCAGGGATGGGGCAGCCACAGCTTTCCTGGGCAACCTGGGCCAGGGTCTCACCACCCTCACAGGAAAGAATTTCTCCCTAATATCTCATCTAAATCTCCCCTCTTCCAGTTTAAGGCCATTACCCCACATCCCATCACTCTTTGGCCTTGTTCAAAGTCCCTCCCAGCTTCCTGAAGCCCTCTCAGGCACTGGAAGTAACTCTGAAGTCTTCCCAGAGCCTTCTCTTCTCCTGACTAAATGGTTAACACTCTGCCCAAAACAAGGTGGGGTATTTAGCAGCTGCCTGTACACCCCTGCACCCTTGGGGACACTCAAACACAACCATCCACTCACACCCAGCTACAAGTGAGCCCAGTGGATGCAGAACCTGGGGGGGTTTCAGGAAAGCTGAGCACATTGCAGCTTTACTTTTTATGAGCTACTTCTAAGCCGCAGGCCTGACAGCAGAGGACTTGGCACCACAAAACTCTGGCTGGGTGCCCAGTGGGGCAGGGTCTCAGCTCCCCATCCCTCCTGGACACGTAGGTGACACTAACTGGTCGTTGCAGATGCAGATGATGGGCCTGAGCAGCAGGCCACCCTCGCGCCGCCTCCGCCGGCCCGTGCCAGCCCCTGCCTCGCCCTCCCCATCCTTACGGTGGATGATGTTCAGCAGCACGTTGATAGATGCCTGGGAAAGAAAAAAGAACAAATAAGCAAGGGCAGACAATCCCTGGCAGGATGAATTTTTGCTGTTCAGAAGCAAGAACCCACTCTGAAAGGGGATGAGCTGCTAAGATGGCAATAATTAACCCAGGAGTGCAGCACAGACCCTGATCCACCTGGCTGGGGGGCAGCTCTGTGGAAAGGGACCTGCAGGTCCTGGTGGGCAACAAGCTCAACGTGAGTTGGCAAAGCAAGCCAAGGATGCAGGGCTGCATCAACAAGGGCATCACCAGCAAAGATAAAGAAGTCACCATCCCACCCTGCTCAGAACTTGTCAAGCCACATCTGACACTGTTCAGTTCTGGTCCCCGCTAAACAAAAAAGACACAGACAGGCTGGAGAGGGTCCAGACAAGGGCCACAAAGATCATCAAAGTGCTGGAAAGGCTGAAAGAACTGGGTTTGTTCAGCTTGGAGATAAGAAGGCTTAGGGGAGACCTTACTGCCATATTCCAGTAAAGAGTGGCTGCCAAGAAGCTGGAGACTCCCTTTTTTATACAAGAATTCCCAAACACAGGACACTTTCAACACTCATCTTACAAGGTGCTGGGCCATCTCATCTGAACTGTGTTCCTACCTAGAAAGGTTGGATGATCCTTGAGGTCCCTTCCACCCTGGCATTCTAAGATTTTGTGATTTAGGGGGTTAGTGCAGGAGTGTCCAGCCCCAGGCCGGGCTTACCGCGGGCGCGCCGTCGATCTCGTCGATGATCAGGCAGTTGGGCTTCTCGTTGGCACCCAGCACAGACCTCATCTGGGTGGCAGCTTCGATGCGAGTCCTGAACACCTCGGGGCTGCGGTCGTCGCTGCAAGACCAGACAGAGCTGGGCTGCTGTGGCACAGCATCACCTCCAGCATGGTGCCACCTCCAGCACCAGCATCACCCCCAGCACCAGCATCACCTGTGCCCGCTTCAGGGGCAGGGCAGGGGGTGCAGACTCACCTGGCGTTCATCTCAACAGCGTTGTACCCCGCGTGCTTCGCGATGACGTGGGCTAGGGTGGTCTTCCCCAAGCCAGGAGGGCCACAGAGCAGGGCTACCTGGGGCAGAGAGGTGCTGTCAGCCCAGCAGGCAGCAAGGCTGAGCTTCCTCCAGCACCCACCAAGGCTTCCACGCAGAGGGAGGAGGCTCTGCAACCTGCAAACTCTTTTGCTCCAACCCTTAGGAGCCGCTGCACGGGTTTGTAGACATACTTTGGAAAGGGAAAGTCACTGGAGGAAGGAGAATATAACAAACTCCCAGAGGTGACACAGTCATCCTGGCAGCATCTCTCAGGAATATGTTAAAGTTCACAGTTGAAAGATGAAAAAGTTATGTTGAAAAAGCTGAACAAAATCCCCTCCAGAATTACATTCCTGAGAAGCAAAGCTGTTAATATCTCTGTTCCCCATTTTTATAGCTTCACTGGACTGGCTGAGGCTGGTAAGTTGGCCTGGGCCTGTTATTGTTCCCCCCTGTAACATCTGAGCATCATTGCTCTTTTCCAGATGCAGAAACTCCTGCTTCAAGGCAGGGCACGTCTGCCCCAAACGAATAAAGCCAAGACCAACATCTGCTAAAAGAAGTACATCTCTCCTCACCTGGCCTGTTTATTTGGCTGGAGCAAGTCTGTTCCCTCCCCATGTTATCACACTACCTAAGCCAAAACAGAAGAAGAAGAAAAGAGAAAAACCCATATTTGCTAAGAAGAAACAAGGAACCCAATTTTTCCTGGATATGTACTGGAAAAGGAGAAAGGGAAGAGCCTGCTCCTCACCTTGGTGCTGGGATGAGTGGGACAGGAGAGGAAACCCACCACGGTGGTGTCCTGTCCTGCTCACCTTGTATTTAGGTCTCTTGTACTGGTCCAGCTCAGCTTCCAAAATATCCTCCATGAGCTGGACCTTTGTTTTCCACTTATTCTGCTGTTCCTTGGGCTTGTTAAATGGAGGATGAGCATCAGCCTTGGCTTTCTTCACAGCCTTCTCCTTCCCAAACACCACCGTGTCCCAGAGCTTCAGCCACTTCAGAAGGCAGCGGTTTGTGTACTGCACGTGGGGCAAGAAAGCAAACCAACCCCATCAAACCTCAGAAGGATCTGGCCAAGGACAAACTAAGGTCCCTCCATCAGGGCTTAAGAACAAGGGTGAGCTGCAGAGGACGGAGCCAAGCCCAGGAGGCAACCCAGAGCATGTCTGTCCAGACAGACCTTGAGTATGCAGCACATCACCCCCACCACGGGAGGGAGAGGCTGCCCAAAATTAATCAAAATAGTCAAGAAGTCATGGCTAATGACCACCCAATCATTTTTGTCTTGTTTTGGTCATCTTCCATAGTCTCTTTTGTCAGAAGCTCCACAGCCTACAGCTGAAACCCCCCTGTCCCAAGCTCTTGGCAGCAGCACTGTCCCCGGGCAGGACCAACAGAATCCCAGCCAGAAAGCTCCATAAATAAAACCATGACCCCCCCAGCATTAAAAGAAAGAGCTAATAAAAGTGTGAAGCCCACCTAAAACCCAAGCCCTCACTGATCCTAGCACCTCACATCATCACTGAGCAGCTCCATGTAGCGCCGGGGGGTGAACTTGTCCACCCAGAGGCAATGCAGCCCCAGCTCCTCCTCCTCCTCCTCCTCTGCTGGCGCCGCTGCCCCGCTGGGCTCTGGGCCCTCCGTGCTGGTCTCGCTCTCCAGGCAACTGCAAAAAAAAGACTTCAATTGCCCCAAACCAGCCAGGGAGTTGGGGCAAGTCTGAGAATCACACCCTGAATTCCCAAGCTGAAGATGCTGACGCTTCTCTGCTGGCAGGTCCCAAAACTTGGAGCCCACCAAAAGCATCTCGGGAGCCGTGTCCGGCAGGGACAGTGGGAGCTCATCCCAACATCTCACCTGCTCAGTATCTCCGTGAGCTGCTCTGATGCCTTCAGAACGTGCCTCCGGCGCTGGGGCACAAAGAGGGGGAGAGGGGGGTCAGAGACTCCCTGCTAACCCATGGCCAGGGGGAGAGGGGGTGCTGTGGCTGCCCAGGGGTGGCAGGGGAGGGTGGGCAGGGTGGTATCTGATACCTCCTCATCCACTTGTTCCTTCAGGTAGGAGAAAGGCACCCCCAGCAAGTGCAGCGGCCTGTGTGCAGTCCTGCCCAGGGAGTCAGGGAGCTGTGAGGAGCAGAGGACACAGACCCATGCTGACACCAAAGCGCAAACACTTCACGAGTCATCACAGATCCCCCTCCTGAACTGGTTGGAGGTCCCGGAGAGGTAAAGCCAGGCTTTCAGATCCCTCCTTACTTCCACTCCTGTCCTGGAAGGGTCGTCCTTCAGCACCATGAAGACCCGGGTGCCCTGGGTGGATGTCACATGGATGTAATCCTCCAGGATGGGCGGCCGCTTGAGGACCCGCCGCTTCTGGGAGTGGGGGGTGGTCTGCAGGGGCCCCAGGCCACTCAGCTCCAGGGGCTCCGGGCTGGAGAACACCACGGCCCTTCAGCAGGGATGAGAGGCTCTTCCCCTCACCCCGGCTAAAAGTGGGGTTCAAGGTGGCCAACCTGGCAGCCTGAGGAGCAGAAGACGCCTCTTGGCAAGCGTCTTGGAAGTCATCAGGAGCCCGCTCGTCGTCTGCACCGAAGTTGAGCTTCTTAACGGCTTCCAGGCGCTGCCGCTTCGTCCTCGGGGCTGCGACAGACACGGGGACGGGAGAGTCACCGAGCACAGGGCGGTACCAGCGCCTGGCAG